ATTTACCCGACGTTCTTACGGTGAAGGAAAACATCGTGATGCACATGTCAGCGAAGAAATTCAAAGACATGTGTGAAGTCAACCAACCCGCAGTGCAGCGTGGTTGACTATGGCCTAGTCACCCAAACTAAGGGTAGGCTCCGAGCCCCTCGATGGGGACGTATAGCGAGCTGGTGATGATGATGATAAAGTTACAAAGGACATTTCAATATTTCATAATATCCTTGTTGTCCATTACTTGTTGCCTGTTAATTAGTAAATGTTACTTAATGTTATAAATTCGAGTTAGACGGATATTTGTTAGAGTTTGTAGCCTAAACTGCTAACCGGATCTTGATGAAATTTGACATAGATGGGGACCAAAATCTGGAAGAACGCATAGGCTACTTACTTTTTTATCTTAATTACACGCGACCGAGTCTCAATTCAAACTTTAGCAAATAAAAAAGTTATTTTACATGGTTGAAATGTGCTTCCAGGGACCATAGTTCGTGTTGCTTGCGGTAAAGGATACGGTCTGAACTTAGATACGAACGCGACCGCAAAATGTGTTAGAGGAAGATGGAAGCCAGATAAACCTAAATGTGAAATCCGTAAGTAAACTGTACAACTCTGAAAAACTAAAAACTTCTGATCTATAATAAAAATAAAATTTTAATTCATATTTCATTAGGATTATTATGGGTAACATTTATTTATATTTCGCACTTTTTAAATTCATTAGAGTTTGTATTAGTTGTTTTTTCTTTTTTTATACCATCTCTAGATTTCAAGCACATTTGTATCTCGTAGACTACAAATTATTTAACAGCTAAATACTAAAACGACATTTATATCATCTCAAATTTTAAGGCCACGTTTAAAAATAATATTAATAAATAATGTATTTTTAATTATAAGGTTACGAACCACAATATTTAGAGCCCGCTCACACCTTTGACTAAACTATCGCACAACTATATAGTCGCGCTTAGATTCTTATAAGCTTATATGGAGGTAACACTATTCCATTTTTAGTTGTGCAACTAAACAGTTGAATTGCGAAACAATCGACAATCGTACAACAGTTGTGCGTTATAAATTATATACCATAGTATAATCTTACTTATATTATAAATGCGAAAGTTTAGATGGATGGATGTTTGTTAGCGTTTGTAGCCTAAACGGCTGAACGGATCTCTATGAAATTTAGCACAGG